CCATATTGGAAAATGTCAAATTTTATGTTATATGTATCTTACTAAAATTTAAAAAAATAATTTAGAGCTATTTAATTAATGTACATAGAAGAGCAGTGCTGGGAAATGTTTAACTGATTTGTAGCAGTTACCAGTTTCTGGCCAATTTCCAGCTACCTGTGTGACATCAAATGTCACCAAATCCTCACCAGTCAGTGTAAGTGGGCTCCAGGACACCGCTGGAATGTGAGAAACGTACATGAGCAATTTGTGTAATTCCAAGAATCATAATGAACAGGACACCCATGTCATCATCACCCAGAGCAGGAAATAGGACAGCGCCAGGGCCACAGATGTCCCCCACTGCGTATCCTCTCTGGTTACAATGCTTTACTCTGCAAAGAGGTAGCCACTATCCTGATTTTAGTCATCAACACTTCCTTCCTTTTTATTACCGTTTTAATACACCAATGTGTGTGTCTCTGAGACAGATAATGCAGTCGGCCTCCTTTCCTTGCGCCTTCTGACAAATTGGACTTCTTTTCAAAGTCTGATACATGTCTGGAAGATGCACGGATCCTCAATGGACACCTGCAAGAGTTTTCACAAACTGAACAGACTTCTTTTTTTGAATTTTGTCTTTGTCCTGAGGTACATACAATAACATGCACAACTCTTAGTACACAGCTTGATAAATTTTGGCATGTCTATACACTCAGGTAACCATCGCCTAGATCAAGATGTGAGACATTCTAATTTTTTCTCCCTTCACTGCTTTCATCCATCTCTTAAGCTCCCCTCCCCTATGGCAACCATCAGTCTGTTCTCTGTGTTTATAAATCTATTTCTGTTTTGTTTGTTCATTTGTTTTGTTTTTTAGATTCCACATGTAGATGAAATCATACAGTATTTATCTTTCTCTGTCTGACTATATATATATATATATATCACTTAGCATAACATCCTTTGGGTTCACCCATGTTGTAGCAAATGGCAAGATTTCATTCTTTTTCGTAGCTGAGTAATATTCCGTTGTGTATTTGTACCACATCTTTATCCATTCATCTATCGATGGGCACTTAGGTTGTTTCCATATGGTGGATATTGTACACAATGTTGAGATAAACCTAAGAGTACATATATCTCTTCAGGTTAGTGATTTTGTTTTCTTCGGGTAAATTTCCAGAAGGGGAATTGCTGGGTCATATGGTATTTCTATTTTTAGTTTTTTGAGAAACCGCCATAGTGGCTGCACCAATCTGCAATCCCACCAACACTGTATGGAAGTTCCCTTTTCTCCACATCCTTGCCAACACTTACTACTTCTTGTCTGGTTTGATACTAGCCATTCTTTTTTTTTTTAAGTGTATTTTTTCATTGAAATATTGTCGATATACAATATTACATAGGCTTCGAGTACACAACACAGTGATTCAACAGTTACACCCATTATTAAATCCTTCCCCCAACTAGTGTAGTTACTATCTGTCAACATAGGAAGATGTTACTGAGCCATTGACTATATTCTCCATGCTGCACTTCCATCCCTGTGACCAGCTTATCTTATGATTGAGATTTTTGTTACTAGCCATTCTGACTGGTGTCTGAACACATTTCTAACTACCAGTTGGGTCCAGAAACACAGAACATTCTTAGCTTCCCCCAAGACCAGGGGAGTTAAGCTCTGCCTTTAGGGAGGAGGGGCATGGGAGAATTTGTGGACAGACATCAAAACTACACCAACTGATAAATGATCAGTACTTTGGAAGAGACCCTCTTGAGTCTATACAAAGATCCTGTTTCCCTTTTAAGTTCACCCACTAATTTTAACATTCACTGGTGGATCCTGTGTATAGAAATTATTACTATGGGGTTTGTTAGAGAGTAAATTTCCATTTCCTTTATTCTTTCTCTCTTTACTATTATTTATTATTTGGGATTCTTCCATAAGGAAGAGTTGTTCCACTTCTGTTTATTCATTTATTCGTTTCTTTATACCAGTATGGATTCATGAATAGTTATTTTATTATTTGGGTTATAACCCAATACTATTGTTATTTATTTTGTTGCCACATTGTTCCAGCTTTGGCCACTGGGTCAGTTGGCCCCTGCATTAAGCATTTTCTGTGAAGCACTGTTCTTTTAATGTGACTCCTTATGGTTATTATTTTTTAGCACTTCCTTATTTTTCTGGCACCACAATATATTCCAGGCTTATTTTGGGTTTTCTCTGCCCTAGTCCGAGGATTGGCCATTTCACCGAGGATCCTGGACTTCCTCTATTGGAGAATGACATTGAGAAACCAAGATCTGGGTGCTGGGTATACTCATTGCTTCTGAGAGGGCCAGGTAGGTCATTGCTTCTAGGCTCTCTCATTGCTCTAAAAAATATGGAGGTAAGATTCATACAAAGTAAAACTAACCATTTTAATGTTACATGTTCACCCACGTGCGTAGCAGCACTATTCACAACAGCTAAAAAGCAAGCCAATCCAAATATCTGCCAGATGATGAACGGATAAATGATGGAATATTACTCAGCCATAAAAAGAAATGATGTTCTGATATGTGTGTTACAATGTGGACCAACCTTGAAAACATCCTGCTCAGTGAAAGAAGCTAGACACAGGTCATATGTTGTATGATTCCACTTGCACAGAAGGTCCAAAATAAGCAAATCCATAGAGCCAGCAGGCTAGTGGTTGCCAGGGTGGGAGGAAGGAGGAATGGGGGCTGGGTAACTGCTACTGGGTGTCCTTTTAGCCTGAGAATGTTTGCAACTAGACAGAGTGGTGGTTGTACAGCATGGGGAACATACTAAATGCCACTGAAGAGCTCACTGACACAACAATTTAAATTTACAACAATAGGGGCTCTGGTGGTGGGCAGAGCTGGGTTCTCATCTCTGCCTCTTTCTTGCTGTGTGACCTTAGGCAGGGTACTTAACCTCTCTGTGTCTTGGTTTCCTCCCCTGTAAAACGGGAAGGATTCAGTGAGTGCGTCAAATTCTTAAAACAGTCAGTGGCACGCAGTAAGTGCTGCTTAAATGTTATTTCTACTTGACACATTCCCTTTGGATTTGAACTTTATTCCTTTGTCCTTTTCTTCATGACCAACTCCTGGCCTCAGTTGCCCCCTGTGGTGGCCCGGGCCAAGGGCAACACAACAGAAGGCAGGAGTCATATCTGACTGTGCTGTTTGGAAAAGGGCTGCTGAATAATAGGTTCCTCTCCTCTGCCTTTTCTTCCAGTGGCTCCCCAGGGATGCACCCTTCTGTCCTTTTCTCCATGTCCCCTGTGCCTGGCTCAGGGGCTGGTGCAGAACAAACACGCCAGGAAATATTTTCCACCCAACTCTCTGACTTTGGCCCAGAATCAGAAGCCTTTTTTGTCTCTCACACGGAATCAGAATGTCCCAACACAGCTGCGTTTGAATCCCAGTGCCTGTGTAACGTCGAGCTAGGTGCTGCACCTCTCTGAGTTCATCAGGAAGATGCAGATAGTGAGTGTATCTCCTTCATGGGGCTCTGTTGGGGACTTATGTGAAATTATATAAAGTGCTTAGCACCCTGCATAGCACCCAGTGAGTACTGGGCTGAAAGGCGACCTGCAGAAAGATACATCCTGGCTCTGATCCCTGAGACCTGAGAACCGTGATCTTATTTGGAGAAAGGATCTTTGCAGACGTAATTAAGGACTTTGAGAGGGGATCATCCTGGATTATATGGGTGGGCCCTAAATCCAGTGACAAGTGTTGAAAACACAGAGAAGAGATATAGCCTCTCGGAGGGATGTAGCGTAACAAGCCAGGTCACGCCTGGAGCCACCAGCATTTGGAAGAACCAGCGGAGGACCTTCCCTTAGAGCCTCAGGAGGGGGCCTGGCTCTACTCACATCCTGACGTCAAACGCCTGGACTCCAGAGCTCTCAGAGAGTAAATTTCCGTGTCTGTCAGCCACCCAATTTGTGGCGATTAGTCACAGCAGCCACAGGAAATGAATACATTAGAATTAGGAAATGTTATCTTTACCAATATCATCATTATTTTCGTTATCTTATTTTTTGTTAGCACAAAAATGCACCCAAATCTTACCAATCTCAATTAAAGCCACTCTTTCCAAATGTCTGAACTAATTTTACTTATGAACAGTTAATTCAGTTGCATCAAAAAACAAAGTGTAAGGTTTATGCTGTGGTACTTTCCTCCCAGTCTCAGTTCACCCCCAAAGGTAACCCATTGCTCTTAATTTCCTATCTTTCCAAAATTTCTGTGCACCCTATCCAAACAAACATGAATATAGGTCCTTATTCTCACCTTACACACCTGCTTTTACAGTAAAGGCAGCATTAAAAATTTTTTTTTAATTTCCATGGAATAGACACTTAAGCCATTTTTATGTGTCCAGTGCAGTGGCCTGAAGCACATTCACATTGCGTGCAACCATCCCCACCATCTGTCTCCAGGACTTTTTCACTATCTCATGTCGACCTTATTGACATCATTTCTCACCTCTACATGCTAAAGCATGCATCTCTGAAAAATAAGAATATTCTGCATAATCATAATGCCCCTCTCACATCTAGCAATATATGTGATCATTCTTCAGTATCATCTTACACCAAGCAAATGTTCAAATTTCTCTGAGTCTCTGAAGTGTCTTTTTAGAGTTGATTTTCAGCAGCCCTGGCCAACAGTCATCATTACAGAGGATATCCAGGACCCCAGCCCTTTGAGGATGGGGAGCTCTGGCAGTGCCCTCTCTCCCAGTCTGGTAGGGGCCTGGGTTCCTGGTCCCTGCTGGATGGAGGCCTTCTCGCCTGTCTGTTGAGAATGGCAGTGAGCTGGACCACGTCAGCCCGTCCCTGGCAAAAGGTTATCGCTTGGTCCGGGAAACAGGAAAGGTCGGGGTGGAGGGGGACATACCCGTCTCCCCTCTGCTGGAGGAGATAAAGGAGGTCACCTGGCTCATCTGTGACAGGCAGAGGAGCCCAGATGTATAAATGGGGGACCAGGAGGGAGCAGAAGTACCAGCCCCCGGGGAAGCAGCCTCGCTGTGCCCACTCTCGCGACCTCCACGTCCCTGTCCAGCATGGCCAAGCTCCTGCTGCTGCTGCTGGCTGTGTGGGTGCTCGCTGGGGAGCTGTGGCTGAGGGCTGAGGCCCGGGCAGCCCCCTATGGAGTGAAGCTTTGTGGCCGGGAATTCATTCGAGCAGTCATCTTCACCTGCGGGGGCTCCCGATGGAGACGGTCAGACATTCTGGCCCAAGATGCTATGGGTAAGGCTTGGGAGGTAGTGTGTGTTTGCTGGGGGTGGTGGATGGGACCAGAACAGGTCCAAGGAGCCAGGGATGGAGATGAGATAGGGGCTGGGAGAGGAGAGTCCCAGCCTTACCACATGTAGCTGGGGGGGTCTGCCTAGCCCTAGAAGCTGTGCAGACACTGGGGGAGCCGGTTAGCAGAACTGCAGGGCAGGGATGAGGGGTGGCAAGCCATCCCCACAGGTTCAAAGGCAGAGAAGAGGCTCCTATTTCCGGAGCATCTGCTGTGTGCCACCCCTGCATTAAGCAAAGGCTCTGCTTGCACTGTTCCGAGCAGGTGCCATTCCAGCCCTTCCAGGAGGTAGTGTGATGGGTGTGGTATAGATAAGGCCAGATTTTGCCATCAAGTGGGTGACCCTCCTTGCAAGTTGCTTCCCCTCGCTGAGATTCTATCTGCAAATGGGAAGCACAGTCCCTGATCTCCCAGGATTGTGAAATGGCAAAATTGAGTCAAAACAAATTAGAACATAGTCAAAACAGTGCAGGGGGGCCCAGTCCGGGCTCAAGCTCGGGGGCAGGGACCTGGCAAAAAAATAGATGTTCGTGATGGTGATAATACAAAGGTGGTTTTAGAAGACATACTGCCTGGGTTCAAATAGCAGCTCTGCAACTGAGTAGCTGTGTGTTCTTGGGCAAGTTACTCCACTGAATTGTGCCTCAGTGTTCTCTGGAAAATGGGGGTGATAATAGCTACACCCACCTCATGGGCTTGTTATTGAAAAGAATAAAAAGAATTAACCCACTAAAACCCTTAAAACAGTGTCTGGCACACAGCTAAGTGCTCAATAAATGCTCAGTGCTATTTTGAATGCTAATCATGTGCCAGACACTGTTCTAAGTTATTTTTAATGGGTATTAATTAATTCATCTACTCCATATAAAACCCTAGACGGTAGGAGTTATTATCCCCACTTCGTACACAAGGAAACTGAGTTGTAAATTCACTTGCTCAGGATTATAACTCAGGCTGAATTGGTACTTAGCAGTTTTGGCTCCCAAACACATGTTCTTAATTATCAGGCTGTCAATAAATAAAGAGTAGTGGGAAGGAAATGACAGGAGAGGAAAGTCAAGCTTAGTGAGACCAAATAATGTGCCCATCAAAGCTGAAACCCAGGCCTGAGTGGAATCAAAACCTTTAACTATGAGGCCATGTCACAAGAACAGAAGTAGCTGGGCCAGCCAGGGGCCAGGATTCTGGGTGTGACAGAAGCTGAGCCCCATGCACTGACTCTTTTCGTATCTTGCAGGGGACACCTTGCCAGACACAGACCCTGACGCAGACAGTGAGCTGGATGAAGCAGTGGCCTCAAGCGAGTGGCTGGCCCAGACCAAGTCCTCCCAGTCCTTCTATGGGGGCCCACCCAGCTGGCAGGGAACCCAGGGGGCTCTGCGAGGTGTCCGTGACATCCTGGCTGGCCTCTCCAGCAACTGCTGCAAGTGGGGTTGTAGTAAGAGTGAAATCAGCAGCCTCTGCTAGCCCAGGGACTCAGCAGTTGGAGGCAACAGGGTGGATGCCCAGCTCTGCTGCCCACTCAACAGGTGTCCAGCTGGGCACCTGTCTCTGGCCCCTCGTGCATTCATTCATCAGCAAGTCACAGAGATCAGGCACTTTGGCCTTAGACACAGTCCCCCCAAACAACCTTGACCTTTGGCCACCATATCCTAATCCGAGCATACTGTCCTCTTACCTGGCCTAATGGGGATCTCTGATCCTAACCCCCAACTCTCCCCAGCCGGTACCATGGCCTTTGCCTGGCCTATACAACAGTTCCCCTATGCTATCCAAACTGGCCACATGGAGACCCCTGCCCAAATTGTGACTGTCTCCTGCTCTAACTGTGGCCACTGTCCCCTGGCCAGCCCAAATGATGCCCCTGCCTCATGCCAGCCTTTGCCCATTCCCTTCCCCCTGCCTTCCAGCCCTTCTCCCTCCTTCGCCACCTGCTGGGGTTCTAAGGCTGTAGGTTGGTGTTAGGACCCCTGGGTCCCCTTCATATGCTGGGCTGGGAGGCTCGCGGTGGGTGGAGGGACGGATCAGAAACTTCTCCAACTCGAATAATAAAAGATTCAAAGGATTTTGCAGTGTGTGTGCGCGTTGCGAGGGGTGCGGGTGCCCCGCCAGTACCCCGCCCAGACACCCCAGGCCTCCTCCCACTCCCCCTCTGCACCCCAGCGAGCCGGGCGGGGGACTTCCCGCCGCGGGGAAGGGGCGGGGATCCGCGGCGTAAGGTGCGGAGGCGGCCGGGAGGCGAGGCTGCGCTTCCCATCGCGGCCCGGGAGCTGCGGCTGGAGAGCGAGGCGAGCGGCGCGGCTGGAGTTGCACGGCCGCGCGGGGCCGGAGCGGGGTGCGCCATGCGGGGTACCCGGGCCGCCCTCTTCCGGCAGCTGCCGCAGCTGGCGCTGCTGCTGTTACTGCTGTTCCAACGGGCTCGGCCCCACGGTGAGTTCTGGGACGAGCTCGTGCGAGCGCTCTGCGGGTAAGCGCGGGCCCTCCAGGGTGATCCACGTGTTTGCAGAATGAATGACCGAGCTCCGGGGCAGGCGCGGGCGGAGCAAGGAGTTGGGGAAGGGGCACGCGAGCAGCGTGGTGGGAGCCAGAGCCCGGGAGGTGGAGGGTGGGGGTGGCGGCGTTTGGGGTGGTAACAGGATGTGGCTGGCTGAGGGAGGGGAGGAGTTATGTCCAAAGCCAGGGTAGGGGTGCCCGGCGCCCCCTTCCTGCTGCTCACTTCCGTAAGGGACCGTGGATCGCCCTCCACAGTTGTCAGAAGTAAGGGCAAGCTCAGGTTCTGGGGTGTGCAAGAGGCTGGGGGTATTGACCCCCTTCCCTGGGACCCTCCCGCCCAACTCCTCAGGCAGCCCTGGGCCACTGCAGTGCTATGGAATTGCACCCTTGGGCGACCTGAACTGCTCCTGGGAGCCTCTTGGGAACCTGGGAGCCCCCTCCACACTGCATCTCCAGAGCCAGAAGTAGTGAGTACAACAGGGCGACCTGGGGGAACTGAGGCTTTGGAGGGGTGGCCACGCAGGTCTCAGCCTTCTCCAGTTATGAAGACCCAGTAGCCCTGCCCCCTTTCCAGCCTTCCTCCACTCTCAAGCCCTTCAATTCCAGGTCTCCTCATTTCCCAGCTGTTGACCCTGGACCACTCCCTTTCCCTCTCTGAGCCCTTGTTGCCTCGTCTATCAGAGGGCAATAATAATAGAAACTGCCTCCTTCCCGGGCTTGGTTCTGAGGGTTCAACGTGTTAGGCATTTGGCATAGAGAAAATGCCTAATAATTAGAAGCTGTTTTTACTGCTGTGTGACCTTAGGCCAGTAGCTTAACTTCTCTGAGTATACAAAGAGATCATTTGGTCTAGTGCTGGGGATGTAGCAATGAAAGAGGCAGACAGAAAGCCTGGCCCTCATGGAGCCCACAGTCTTGAGAGGAAGAGGCGTTCCTTCATGATGAATCACATCTGGAAACGAGAATTCATTTCACATTTGTCAAAGCAAAGGAAGAGTCAAAGGGGCTTTGAAAGGCGGGAAGGAGATTTTTATTCTAATGGTAGTAGAATACACAATACAATTTACCATCTTTATTTCTCAACCATTTTTAAGTGGACAGTTCAGTGGCAATAAGTACAAGCATTGTGGATTCAGTCCACACCACCCCAGTAGGGCAAATATGGCATTAAAGCCAGTCAAATGAAGTTTTTGCTTTCCCAGTGTGCATAAAAGCTATGTTCACATTATCCTGTAGTCTGTTAGGTGTGCAATAGCATTATGTCTAAAAAAAAAGTTGATACCGTAATTAAAAAAATACTTTATTGCTAAAAAAACCCTGCTAACCATCATCTGAGCTTTCAGCAAGTCATAATGCTTTTGCTGGTGGAGGGTCTTGCCTCGAGGCTGATGGCTGCTGCCTGATCAGGGAGGTGGTGGCTGAAGGCTGGTGTGGCCGTGGCAATTTCTTAAAGTAAGGCAACAATGAAGTTTGACTCACTGATGGATTGTTCCTTTCACGAACTATTTCTCTGTTGCATGTGATGCTGTTTGATAGCATCTTACCCACGGTAGAACTTCAGAATTAGAGTCAATCCTCTCAAACTCTTCTGCTTTATCGGCTGAGTTTCTGTAATATTCTCAATCCTTTGCTGTCACTTCAACAAACTTCACGGCATCTTCCCCAGGAGCAGAGTCCATCGCAAGAAACCACCTGTTTTGCTCATCCTAAGAAGCAGCTCCTTATTTATTCCAGTTTGCTCATTTCTAATTCTACTTCTGCTATTTCTGCCGCATCTGCAGCGACTTCTTCCACTAAAGACTTGAACCTTTTAAAGTCATCCGTGAGGACTGGCGTCGACTTCTTCCAAACTCCTGTTAATGTTGGTATTTTGACCTCTTCCCATGATCATGAATGTTCTTAATGACATCTAGGGTGGTGAATCCTTTCCAGAAGGTTTTCAATTGACTTTGCTCAGATCCATCAGAGGAATCACAATCTACGGCAGCTATAACCTTACAAAATGTATTTCTTAAATAAGAAGACTTGAAAGCTGAAATTACTTCTTGAACCATGGGCTGCAGAATAGATGTTGTGTTCCCAGGCATGGTAGCAACATTCGTCTCATTGTCCATCTCTGTCAGAGCTCTTGGGTGAACAGGTGTACTGCCAGTCATATTTCAAAAGGCACCTCTTTTTCTGAGCAGTAGATCTCAACAGTTGGCTTAAAATATTCATTAAAACATGTGATAAATAGACGTGCTGTCATCCAGGTTGTGTTGCTCCATTTCCAGAACAAAGGCAGAGCAGATTTAGCATCATTCTTAAGGCCCCTAAGATTTTCAGAATGGCCAATGAGCACTGGCTTCAACTTAAAGTCACCAGCTGCATTTGCCTGTAACAAGAGAGTCAGCATGTCCTTTGAAGCCTTGAAGGCAGGTATTGACTTCTCCTCTCTAGCTATGGAAGTCCTAGATGACAACTTCTTCCGATAGTAGGCTCTTTCACCTACATTGAAGATCTTCTGCCTAGTGTAGCCACCATCATGAATAATCTCAGCTAGATCTTCTGAATAACTTGCTGCAGCTTCTCCACCAACACTTGCTGCTTCCCCTGCACTTTGATGTTCTAGAGATGGCTTCTTTCTGGAACCCTCTGAACCAACATCTGCTAGCTTCCAACTTTTCTTCTGCAGCCTCCTCACCTCTCTCAGCCTTCATAGAATTGAAGAGAGTGAAGGCCTTGCTCTGGATTAGGTTTCAGCTTCAGGGAATGTCGTAGCAGGTTTCATCTTCTACCCAGACCACTCAAACTTTCTTCATATTAGCAATAAGACTATTGTGCTTTGTTATCATTGGTGTGTTCACTGCAGTTAGACTTTTAATTTCCTTCAAGAAATGTTCCTTTGCATCTACTACTTGGCTGCTTGGTGCAAGAAGCCGAGTGTTTGGTCTGTCTCGGCTTTCCAGATAAGCTTAAACATTTCTAGCTTTTGATCTAATGTGAGAGATGTGTGACTCTTTCTTTCACTCAGACACTTAGAGGCCTTTGTCAGGTTATTAACCCATCTAATTTCAATACTGTGTGTCTTAGGGAAAAGGGAGGCTGAGGAGAGGGTGGGAGACAGGGGAATGGCTGGTTGGATCGGTCAGAACACACACAACATTATTGATTAAGTTTGTTGCCTTAAAAGGGCACAGTTCAAAACAACGGCAGCCCAAAACAATGACAATAGTAACATCAAAGATCACTGATCACAAATCACCACAACAAACACAGTAAGAATGAAAAAATTTGAGACATTGCAAGGATTACCAAAGTGTGGCACAGAGACATGAAGTGAGCAAATGCTGTTGGAAAAATGGTGCCAATAAATTTGCTCAACAGAAGATTGCCACCAACCTTTGATTTGTAAAAAAATGAAAATCCCTGAAACACAATAAAGTGAAGTACAATAAAAGGAGATGTGCCTGTACGTTCACATTGTTTTGCAGCCATCACCATCCTCCATCTCCAGAGAGGGGGCCTCACTTTAATTGTTAGAGGATGGGGGAGTCAGAGAAGGCCCCTCCTTTTTTTAATGAGGTGAAACTCACATAACATCAAAACAACCATTTTAAATGGAACAGTTCAGTGGCATTTAGGACAGTCACAATGTTATGCAACTACCACTTAATTCTGTCTAATTCCAGGACATTCCCATCACCCAAATGGAAGTTCTGTCCCCATGTGCAATCACTCCCCATTCCTCCCTCCCCCAGCTTCTAGCAACCACTGATCTGCTTTCTGTCTTTATGCATTTGCCTGTTATGAACTTTTCATAGAAACCGAATGATACAATATGTGCCCTTTCGTGTCTAGCTTCTTTCACTCAGCATAAGTTTTGAGGTTTGTGGCTGAGTAATATTCCACAGTATGGATATGCCACCTTTCATTTACCAGTTCATATCTTGATGGACATTTGGGTTGTTTCCACCTTTTGGTGGTTCTAACTAGCACTGCTATGAACCTCTGTGTACATGTTTTTGAGTTCCTATTTTCTGTTCTCTTTGGTCTCTACCTAGGAGTGGAATTGCTAGGTCTGTGGCAATTCTGTTGAACTTTATGAGGAGCTGCCCAACTGTTTTGCACCACAGCTGTAACATTCTGCATTCCCACCAGCAGTGTAGGGGGGCTCTGATTTCTCCACATCTTCACCGCCTGTGTTTCTGTTGTTGTTTTTATGAAGGCCTTGCTTTGAACTTCTGAAATTCAGTCCTTTGGGATGTCCTTATCCTCTCTCTCTCACTCACATCTGATCCATCAGCAAGCCTTGCTGGCTCCAACTTCCACATCATATCCAGAATCTGGCACTCCCCACTTCCTCAGTGCCTGCCTGGTCCAGCCCCCATCACCAGTGGCCTAGACCTTGTAAGCTCCTGCCTGGGCTGGGTTTTGGCCCTCAACCATACAGTCTGTCCTCCCCTCTGCAGCCACCAGAAGGTGCCCTGTGACTGCCCCAGTAGAGGAATCCCTCTGCTCCCAGCCCTCCAAGGCTCCCACCTCACTCACAGTAAAAGCCAAAATACTTCCTTTAGGCCACCAGCCCCTACACAATCTGTTTGTCACCTGCCTTCCCTCCCCTCCTCCTACTCACCCCCTCACTCCACTCCAGCCATAGGGCTTCCTCCTCACTGTTCCTCAGACACACCAGGACATTAACCCCAGGGCCTTTGCACTGGCTGTTCCCTCTTCCTAAGACTCTCTTTCCTCTAGTCCTGGATGGTTCTGCCTTCATGTCCTTCAGGCCTTTATTCGAATGTCTGGTTGTCTGAGACATCTTTCCTGACCACCCTACGTAAAATAGCACTGTCACTCCTTACCTTATCCTCACACCACACCCTCTTTACCCTGCTTGATTGTTCTTTATATTGCGTATGCCATCATCAAGTCTTTATGTGTTTCTTGTCTGCCTCCTCCCACTGGAACACCAGCTCCAGGGAGCAGCTCCTTGCTTGCTTTGGACATAGTCCTTTTTCCAGCAACCACAACAGTGCCTGGCACAGTATGTATTTGCTGACTGTATAGTCATATAAATGTGAATGTGCATATATATATATAGTAAGTGCTCAATAAATACAACCAGTGTTCACTTAACATGTACTGTGCACTCGATGCTGCTCTAAATGCATTCCATTTATTATTTCATTGATTCTGTTCCTGTTTGGCCCTTTCAGCTTGCACTTTCATTGTCCACTGAAGCACAGAGAAGTTAAGCCATAGGCTGAAGGTCACACAGCTCTGCAGCAGCAGTGTTGGCATTTGAACTCAGGCAGAACAGTTGATAACATTATGTTCCACCCCACTCCCATGCCTACATCTCTCCTCACAGCCATTCCAACAGAACCTGGACTGTGGCAGTGCCCCCCCGCCAGAGCTGGGTAACCATTCCTCGAGAACAGCTCACCACATCAGATGAACTCCTTGTCTGGGGAGCCGAGGCAGGCCAGCCTCTCTGGTCCCCAGTCTTCGTGAACCTGGAAACCCGAAGTAACAGGCAGGGATGAGGGGGTGTGCTTTATGTGGGGTGGGTAGCCCTGGAGGCTTTTGCTCAGTGCTCCCCTACCTCCCCTTTCTCAGTGAAGCCAGATGCTCCCCGACTCTGCCCCAAGGTGGACTTTCCAGAGGATGACCCCTTGGAGACTGCTATCCAATGGGAGCCCCCTGTGTGGCCGCCCCATAAGATCCTGATCTGCCAGTTCCACTACCGAAGATGCCAGGAGATGGCCTGGACCCTGGTGAGTGTTAGGGGCCCTCTTCCTCCCACCTTCTTCTGGGCAGGGCCCAGGCCGTCATGCCCAAATCAGAGACCCAGCCCAGCCCGCCCTCCCCTGGCATCTGTCCACATCCCACCCAAAAAGCTTCTGCTGTACATACATCTTGTTCAGCTAAAAACTGCCTCCCAAGATAATCCATGAATTCCATGTAGGCTCAATCTCAGTTTTACATGGAATTTATGAGAAACTCAATAAACTTCCTCTAACATTTCTGTGACTGAATGGAAGTCCCTTATGTTTATGTTTAAGCTTAAAATAAGAATGACAGAAGAACAGAAGACATGTAGAGAGCATCTCATATGTGCTAGATACTGTCCTAGGCTCTTTATTGAATATTTACAAGAACTCTTTGAGGTAGTTGCATTTTATACCTACCCATTTTGCAGATGAGGAGCAGGGCCTGGTTTTCAGTAAACACTCAGAAATAATTAATAAGAGCAGCTGATGTTTCTGAACACCTGCTGTGTATCAGGTCCCAAGCTAAACAATCTGCACAGATTATCTTGGTGAGTCCCCCACCAACTTCCCTATATAGTAGATACTTTTCAGCTCTCTGTTTTATAACTGGGGAAGCCAAACCTCAGAGAAGTTAAGCAACTTACCAAGCTCACACAGCAAGAAATTGGAAGACAACTCTAGAGCAATGGGACCCCAGAAGGAGTTGAGCTACCTGCCCATGCACCATTAAGAGCACCACCTGGAAGTTGCATATATCATTTCCTCTTATCTCATTGGCCAGAACATAGTCACATGGTCTCACCTGATCACAGTAGAGGCAGGGAAATGTAGTCTTTATTTTTGGCAGCTTTATTCCCAACTGATACCCAGAGGCTCTCTTAAGAGAGAATGGATAGAGAGAATAACCAACTGTCTCCACTACAGCTTTTGATGCACACGCCACCTGTATAGAAGAGTTGTCATTGTCATGATTCATGAAATTCAAAGTAACACTGAGATTCAGGCTTTGGAAGTTGCCTGCCTGGATATTGGATCTCAGCTTTAACACTCACCAGCTGTGTGACCTTGTACAGGTCACGTCCCTTCTCTGGGCCTTAGTTTTCCTTATCCATAAAATGGGAATAATTCTAGAATTGATTTGCTATTGCTATATGTGACCCACAGGGTGACCGACTTGTCTCCTTTTGCCAGGGATTGTCTGAGTTTTGAAACCAAATGCCCCACATCCTGGAAATGTCCTGGACAAACACAGACAGTTGGTCACCCTATGCTACCAGGCTGGCACAGAAGGTCAAGTAGCCTCAACTCAACCTTTGGCCTCATTCCTGTCTACCCCAGCTAGAACCAGAAGTGACGTCCATACCCCTGGCCCCTGTTGAGATCCAGAATCTGGAATTAGCCACTGGCTATGAGGTGTCTGGCCGCTGCCGAATGGAGAAAGAAGATTTGTGGAGTGAATGGAGTCCCAGCCTGTCTTTCCAGACCCTGCCCTCTGGTGAGGCTCTCCAAGCCTGCCCTTATACCCTCTTCCCCCTGCCTGGAAGTCTGTCCAACCAGGCCCCTATCACTTGTACCCACTTTCCTCATCCTTGCCAGCTCCGAAAGATGTGTGGATATCAGGCAACCCCTGTGGGACACCAGGCGGTCAGGAACCCCAGCAGCTTCTGTGGAAGGTGAGCTGTGGGGACAGGAAACCCCAAATAGTGATGTAAACAAGACAGAGCTTGCTATGCTGCCCTCTTGAGGTTATTTTAAAGCTTCCAGGAAGGGGGTGTTCAGAGAGGTCCTGGCACAGTGCTGGGCACAGAGCAAACCGCCACCAATGTCAGCTACTTCTGAGAGATCTGAGCTGACACCTAAAGATGGGTGCAGGTGTTCTGGGGGTGGGGGGACAGCAGGTGCAAAGGTTTGGAAGCACGACTAGACTCAGCTTGACAAATTGTAGCACAGTGTGCTAAGGGCTTAGATGCTGTTAAGGAAAGGGAATTATGAGATGACAGACAAGGATGCCATAGTCCCCATGTATCTAAATATGTTGAGCACCTACCATGTTCCAGGCATTTCCAGGCCCTGGCTCATAGTAAATATGGCAAGGAGCAAAACAACATGGCCCATACCTTCTTGGGCCACACAATGTAATGTCATTAGTTTTAACCATACATACTACTTGGAGAACTTACTATGTGCCAAGTTCTAGCCTACACATTTATTTATATTAACTAACTTTACAGATGAGAAAAATGAGACATAGAACGGCTGCCCCAAACCCTGCACAACTGGCATCCGAACAGCACTTCACAGCCTCAGTGCCTCTATTCCATACTGAGTACTTTACAACACCTCTTTACTCTATGGAAATGAAATACATACATAATATAATCTATGAATGTGCATGTTCTTAAGTATATATAATACAATGTTCTAATTGTAACATTTAGTAGAAAATAAAGGGGAAATAAAGTTAATACATAATGGCAAAAAATTCAGTTCACCAGTATGATATAAGAGTACCAAATCTGTATATACCTAATAACATGGCTTTAAAGTACATAAAACAAAACGACAGAGCTACAAGGAGAAATATATGAATCCACAACAGTTGTAGGAGATTTCAACACACCCCTCACAAAAATTTCATAACAAATGGATGCAAAATAAGTTCAAGCTGTAGAATATTTGAACATGGGATTAACAACAACCCACTGGACTCACATAAGGAATGCTAAAACATGCATTCTTTCCATACACAAACAGGACATTTACCAAAATCAATCACATTCCAGGCCATACAGCCCAGTTTCCAGGAACTTCAAAGTGGTGAGATGATGGAGGGTGCGTTAGAAAATCCTTTTAGCAGAGCACAGATTGTATTGGGAATTGATAATAAAAACTGCTTAGAAAGTCCCCATATGTTCTGAATATTTTTAAAATTCAGTGAATATTAAAACCAGGTCCCCAAAAGAGTTTTGAATTTATACCTCAAAAGGAGTTTGGTTTTAAGATCAGTTAAAATTATTAGACAGGTTTTCATCTGCAGAAGTTTCTAGCGGAGATGACATTAAAAAGTCACAAGGATCATGGAACAATTTTTTGTTTCTAGGACTATGTACCATCCCTGGCTCTCACCAATCAGATAAGAATCATTACGGCAACCAGAAATTCTCACAAGTTTCTCCAAAGCCCCGTGGAGGGTACCATCCTGTCTGTTATACATGACTACTCCTCCATACAACAGTGGGAATTTTGAAATCCCTAAGAACTGTACAGGCAGATTAGGGTGAGGCAAGTGAGGCAGTCATACAGTGCCGGGTCGGGCTCTGCCTTTACTTGAAATCTTGGTATTTTATTTGTCATGGGCTTTTTTTGCATTACTATTTGTTTTGGTTCATATATTTTGATTACTAAGTTTTTTGTATCTTCGTCCCTTCAATTTTTCACCCAAGGTAAGTGTCTCACTTACCTCGCCCTAGCCCTGGAACTGTGTTCTGACCCCAACTCTGCCATGGAGCCCATCTGAGACTCAGTTTCCTCATCTGTAAAGTGGAGCCAACAAAAATTTCACCGGCGGGCTTGTTGGGAGACCTCCTCGAGACACACAGCATGTGCCTTATGAACGGGGGATACTAACTCCTTCTTCCCCTCCTTCCTCAGGCCCCAGGGCGCTGTGCGCAGGTGGCCTACAGAGTGTGGTTCCATGTGGAAGGTCAGAGGCTGACCCAGGATGGGACTCCCTGCTGCAACTCCTCCATCCCCGCCCAGGCGGAGTGGGCTGGGGTGTCCGCTGTCAATGCCACAAGCTGGGAGCCTCTCACCAACCTGTCTTTGGCCTGCTTGGGTAAGAGGCTGTGAACTTCCTCTGAGCAGTACCCTAGAGAGGCAGGACGGGTCTTCCTGAGTGGGCAGCTAAGGCTTCTCCTCCCCACCCCCTACACCTTCTAGGTCCAGGCTCTGCCCCGCGTAACGTGACGGTCAGCAGTGTTGCTGGGAGCATGGATCTGCTGGTGACTTGGCAACAGGGGTCTGGGGCACTGCAGGAGTACGTGGTGGATTGGGCTCAAGATGGGGACCCCTTGGAGAACCTCAGCTGGGTCCGGCTTCCTCCTGGGAACCTCAGTGCTCTGTTGCCAGGTGAGGCCTCGGGACATCTGGGTTTCCATCCTAGCAGTTGGAGAGCAGGCTGATAGGTGGATCTGTAGGAAGGAGTATTATACTTAAAGAATCATTAATATATGCAATAAATATTCATTGACCACCTGAATAATGTGCTGGGCCATGTTCCAGACACCAGTGCACAGTACGGCAGTGGGAGTCCATTTTACAGTAAGCATTAAATCATTCAAACTTCCTTATAAAGTAGGTTTGTTATTATCATGTTCAATGAACGGATGAAAAGGAGGCCCAGAGAAGTTAAGCGACTTTCCTGAGGCCACACAGCAAGTAGGTGGTAGCAACAGGATTTGAACAACATAGTTAGGCCCCTCTGGCTGAAACCTGAGCCATCACACCGCTCTCCCTCCCAGCAACATCCCCATTCTCATGGAACTGATATCCTTGTGGGGCCAGCAACCAATGAAACAAATAAGAACAAAAAACAGGGACATTCATCATGTAACTGGGGGAAAACAATGCAGGGTAAAGGGGAGGAGGGATAATTGCTGTTTTAGAAAGAAAGATTAGAAAAGGCCTCTCTGAGAAAGTGGCATTTGAACCAAGACTTGAAGGAGGTGACAGAGGGAGCCAGGAGGATGTATGAGGGAAAAGCACAGGGAACAGACAGTACAAAGGCTCAGAGGCAGGAACATGCCTGATGTGTTAGAGGAATGGCAAAGAGGTTGGTGTGGCGAAGTGGAATAAGTAAGGGGGTAACTGGGAGGAGGGGAGGGCAAGGAGGTGATGGGGCAGGTTGTGCAAAGCCTGCAGGCCACAGGGAGGACTCTGGGTTTTGCTCTGAGTGAGGCGGGAGCCACAGAGGGATGCACCCCGATACAGGTGCCCACAGATGCCCTCTTGCTGTGGGGGAGCAGACTGGGGAAGACCAGGCCAGGGTGCGGAGCTGATAATCCCTGGAGAAGGGACTGTGCCTGTACAGGTGGGAGATGATGTGGGCTGGACCAGGTGGGGACTGAGGAAGGGAGAGAAGCAGGCAGGCTGGTTGGGAAGTCTTGGGGCAGAATTTGGGGAACCCATTTGTCATGTCTGAGATGCTCATCCAAGTGGAGTCATCCATGAGACTGTTGGATACTCAGGTCCAGGGATTAGCAGTGAGTTCCGGGCTGGGGTTTGGCACTGGGGAGTTTGCCCCTGGTGGAGAACACGAGTGAGAAATTTCAGACAGAGTCTTGCCTGGACAGAAGACTGAAGTATTGGGAAATTTAAGGCCCCTCAGAGGCAGCCCTCCAGCAAAAACTAATAAGCATCGGTGGATAAATACCCCAGCTCCCTCCCGCCTTCAGTTGGGATGCCCCAGGTGTGCGCTCTCTGCTGCCTCCCAGAGGTCGCTGGCAGGATTGGTAATTGTTTACCATTTTCCGGCTGCCTTTTCTTCCCCGTTCGCCTTCCCAATAGCCCAGTTGGTATTCTCTGGGGCACCACCCAGAAAAATTACTTTTGCCCAAATCCTTCTCTTAGTATGTTCTTCTGGAGACCCCGATGAAGACTCCTACCAAATAGGAGCCAACTCTAAACGGTTCTTGCTTCTCACCCACCTAGGAAATTTCGAAGGAGGGGTCCCTTACCGGGTCACAGTGACAGCAGTCTCTCCTCGGGGCTTAGCCCCTGCTCCCCAAGTCTGGAGTTTCAGAGAGGAACTAGGTAAGCGGTAGGGCTGGAAGATGGAGTATACTGGGACGCCAGCAGACCTTGACCCATTGGCTTTCTCCGCAGCACCCCTGGAGGGACCGATGCTTTGGCGACTCCAGGATGACCCCCCAGGGACCCCCGCCGTAGCGTGGGGAGAGGTCCCTAGGCACCAACTTAGGGGCCATCTCACGCACTACACCTTGTGTGCACAGAGTGGGACCAGACCGTCTGTCTGCTTGAATGGTGAGCTTTACTGTCCCCTGGCCCCAAAGCTACAAGACCCCCCCATCAGCCTGCCCCCTACTCCATCCCCAAACAGGCCCCTTTGGCCCCCCTCTCAGCTCCTTGGAGAACACATGGTATCATTAATTCCCTAGTGGACAATAACCCACGTGGCTCTCAATGTAATGGCCTATCATCTGGCCATTAAAATGAAGACTCTGATCTATATTATTGACATTGAAAGATGCCTGTCATATTTTATTAAATGAAAAAGACAAAAGGGTTACAAAATGCCATGGAATGGTTCCACTTTTTGTTAAATAAACCCAGCATTGAGCAAAGCAGAGGCACACAAATGAAAGGTAACTCCCCACCATGTCAACGGATTACAGGATTGCATATGATTTTTCTTTTTTGTACCATTGGGTGTAGGCCCAATTTTTACTCTGAGCACGAATTCCTTCTTAAAACTCTTATTATTGCTCTTTTACCCCCAATTACACTTATCTGCGCTTGTTACAAAAGCTGACACATTAAAGGAGTATGTCACCAAGAATATTGACATTTTCCTCGTTTCATGGACACTGACAATGCAGCTTCCAGATTTTTCCATACATATGTTAGCATAGAGAGAGTTGTTTTTGAAGATTTTCAACTTGGTATTATAGATCCTTTCACGTATATATGGAAGTAGGGAGAAGGGTACAACACACCTTCATGTAATCTCCACCCAGCCTCAGCAATTACCTGCATCTTGCCAATCCTGTTTTAATTTATCCTCAATACTTTTTTTTCTAGTCTTTGGTGTCATTTCATCCCTAAATACATCAGGACATCAGCATTTGTTTCTAGCTGAAAAAGCCTATTTATTAAGATAATTACTTTGCCATGATTGTACCTTGTGAAAATCTATATAGATCAAGTTTAAAGCTGTATATATGTTACTAAATATATATTTATTTTATTTTATTATTATTATTATTATTAAAAGAGGACAATGTTACAGGCTATAATTTGGCCCCGAATCTTAGGACTGATGTTTTGCAACTTACCTTGTATCACCTGATGATTTAGCTTAATTGTCTTTCTAGGTACTATATCAATGGCCATTATTTCTATGGCATTATATCCACGTTCATGGCTCTATAATCCTATAACAAACCCAAAACCTACTTCCTCTCTTAGCTAAAAAAAAAAAAAAAAAAGCAATTCGGTAAAAAAAGTAAATAGAAACAGTTTTGAGAGGTCCAAATATCTTTCCCTCCTTTCCCTTCACTGGGTTCTGTGTGGGTGAGGGATATGATGATGCTCATTCATTCATTCATCAGTTCAAATATATACCATTTTTGAGAGCCAGGCACTGATCCAGATGCTGGGAATGATCCTTGGGGAGCTAACTTTCCAAGGACAGACATACAGGCATAGACAAAGTAAATAAGCAGTGTGTCAGCTGGTGAGAACTGCAGGGTAGAGAATGAAACAGGGAAGGCGAGTACTGAAAGAGGTACAATTTTAAATGTGGTGAGGTCAGGGAAGCCCTCACAGAGGTGGTGAAATCTGAGCAAAGACCTGAAGGAAGGAGACATGTGCATATCCAGGAGAGAGTGGTGTGGACAGAGAAAGCATGTGCAAAGGCCCTGAGGTAGGATTTGACCACTGCCCCAACCTCTCTGGGTGTGTCCTTCAGTGAGTGGCAGCACCCGGAACATCACCCTGCCCAACCTTCACTGGGGTCCCTGTGAGCTATGGGTGACTGCATCCACCATCTCAGGAGAGGGCCCACCTGGTCCCAGCCTCCAGCTTCACCTACCAGGTAGGGGGGCTGGGGTGGGGCTGTCATGGGCGGGGGCCTGCTCAGTCAGTCTGAAGGGGCTGTGGAATGATTAGTTGGGCTTCAGTGAGTGGGCAACCTTTTGACTTGGGGGGAGTGGTTACTGATGACGCCTCAGTGGCTATTGATTGATGATGCCCTGGTGGTTATTGACTAATTGATTCCTGCTAACTACTGCTATGGACTTATCAGGGTGTGTGTGTCTCTGATCCTGTCACCCACCCCTTACCTTGACCTATCACCCGTTACTGCTCTACTCACAAGCCCCACTCCCATCCCCAGACTTTCCCCATCCATGAGACCTACCTGACCCTTCCCCCTCCCTGCTGTCCAAACGTGCTTCTGCTCCTCCCCCCACCAGATAACACCCTGAAATGGAAAGTTCTGCCCGGTATCCTTCTCCTGTGGGGCTTGCTCCTGATGGGATGTGGCATGAGCCTGGCCACTTCCAGAAGGTGAGGCTACCAGACATGTGGGTCTCTGCCTAGGTGGGGAGGGTGGCTGGGCATTAGCTGAGCTTCCAGCAAGAAGGTGGTGGTGGTGGTTGTGAGGGGCTACCGCAGGGCTCTGTGACGTCCCTGGAGTCTGTGACCTGGGCATGGGCACCCGCCGCCTGGCTTCCCTGTCCTGACCCTACCTGTGTGCGTGCAGATGTCTCCACCTGCGATACAAGGTGCTGCCTCGCTGGGTCTGGGAAAAGGTTCCTGATCCTGCCAACAGCACTTCCAGCCAGCCCCATGTGGAGGTGAGCAAAAAGGCTGGCTGGTTGGGGCCCTCCTGCAGGGCTAGCGGGTGTTGGGTCAGTGGGGAGCAGGTGGGAGTGGTGAAGGTTATGAAAATTAGGTGCAGAATCTCAGCCTCCCTCTTCTCAGGAGGTACCTCAGGCCCAGCCCCTCAGGGACTTACCCATCCTTGAAGTGGAGGAGATGGAGCCTGTACTGGTGATGAAGCCCCCCGAGGCCTCCGCCCAGCTTGACTCTGGGTATGAGAAACACTTCTTGCCCACACCTGAGGAGCTGGGCCTCCTGGGCCCCCCAGCCCCAGGCCCCAGGCTCAGGCCTGAACTGATCGCAGGCCAGGAGAGTGGTGCTCATTTGACAGATGAAGACTTGAGGCTCAATGAGGCTGAGTCACTTGCCTGAGGAGACCCAGCCAGGAAGAGCTGAGATTGAAGGACCCGAACAGAGAAGGGCCTGGCCCTACAGGGAATATATGGGCGAGGGAGCAAAAGATAATATATGAGATCTGGAGTGGCATTCCGGGAAAGTCTTCCCAAATCTGTTCTGCTGGTTAGATTCACTCCCAGCCTCCCTCAAAGCTCAGGCAGGAATGGGCTGAAGTCTCGCTGATGGAATGGAGGGTGATGCATGCCGACAGATTGGGCAGGGGCCCCTCTGTTCTCTTCCCTTTCACGTGAGCTGTAGCATCATTGCACCTGTTGCCCAGCTTTGGCCACACCCACGGGGAGGATGGATCAAGAAACGGACTTGTGGATCCACCAAATGACTGTGGATCAGAGCAGCCCAGAAAAATAAACTTATGTTTTTTTATAGCTACTATAGCTTGAGAACTTTGTCAGCAGCTGCGTCCAAACTGTTATTGACTCATCATCTCTGTGGCAGAGTGAAGCCCTCAGTGTCCCTCCAGGAGATGGTGAGGTGGTTCTGTGCCAGCCACACACACACACTCACTCCAACTGTCCAAATGCTTTCACGTTTTATTTTCAAGTATAAAGGCTTTGTCACAGAAGGGGGCCAGGGTCACAGGCAGCGGGCAAGGGGTCTGGAAGCCCAGATGGAGGCGGATGTGTGGGCCAGCTGGCTCCCAGGGGCTGCGGCCAGTCCCATGGTGCCCTGTCTGCGCCTGGGACCCTTAGCTGGGTGCCAGGAGGCCGAGGTAGCTGTGCGAGGAGCTGGGTGTTGGGCAGAGGGCGCAGACTCACATAACCACACAACACTGGCACGTCTTTTGCTTGGGGCCACTCGCCTCTTCGCCCTCAGGAGGGGCACATGGCTCAGACTGCCGCACAGGCGCATAGGTGGGCACAGGGTGGGCACTGGGGTTGGCCCTGGGCCCCTCCACCTGAAGCAGTGGCTGGCACTCAGTGGGCTGCTCTGGAGCTGGGGTCTCTGCCAGGAGAGGGGTAGGGTCCCCTGAGGGTCCCTGGCCCTCAGCAGGGGTTTGGGGCATTGCTGCTTCTTCCTCCAGGGAGCCTTCCTGCTTCTCCTGGGGCTGGGTTCCTTCCTCCTCTGGCCTCAACTCCTCCTTGGCCCCAAAGGGAGCCCCTCCCTCCCTCACCTCCTCTGCCTGACCTTTCTTTCCTCCCCCAGACTCTCTCTGCTGTTCTGGAGTCAGATCTTCCTTGATCTCTTGGGCTTTCTCAGCCTCCGAGGCTTCCTCACCTCCTGTTCTGTCTACTGACTGCGATTCCTCACCTTCCTTTCTCTCTGTCACCGAAGCATCTTCAGTCGCCTGCAGCTTTTCTTCATCTCCCTTCTCTGCTCCCAAAGGTCCCTCAGCCTCTTTCTGTGCCCCTAGCATTTGCTCACCTTTCTGTTCCACTGCCAATGGCTCTACACCTCCTTCCTCCTCTGCCCCCAGAGGCCCCTCCACTGCCATCAGGGGCTTCTCCACTCCTCCTTCCCTCTCTGTCCCCAGCTTCTCCTCCCCTCCTCTCCTCTCCAGCTCTGAGGAGTCTGCACTTCCCTTCCTCCCCACGGCCAGCAACCTCTCGGCCCCGTCCAGCTCTGCCCCTGCCTTTTCCTCGCTGCCTTGCTCTCCAGTGCCCACAGGCTCCTCTGCCCGGCTCCTATCCACCTCGCAGGTCTCCCCCGCCCTCCCCTCCACCCCCAGCAGGCTCTCTGCTGCTCCCTCCCTCCCTTGCACCCTGGGCCTGTCCAAACCCTCCACCACCAGCTCCTCCCACTCCTCACTGAGGGTCACTCTCTCCACCCAAATGAAGGACCCCTCCTCTCCCCCAGAGCCCCCCGGCCCATCACCATCAGGGATGCCCCTGGGAGCACCCGCTCCAGAAGCTGCCCCCTGGAGCCTCAGTGAGCTGCTCTGCAAGGCTTCCTGGCGCCTACCCGCCTCCCGCACCACCTCTGAGTTGCTGCCCTCCGGGTCACCCATCCCTTCCCAGACCACCTCCACAACGCCCCTGTCCACCTTCACCCAGGATGGTAGCTCTGGGCGGCTGGCCTCCTGCCTTTCCCCAATGGCTTCCAGCACCATCTCCTCCACCTGAGCCTCCAGCTCCGGGCCCGTGGGCCCTGTGGCACTGTCCTCTGTGGCCCTCAGCCCCTCCCATACCACCTGCACCACACCCCCTCCATTGGCGTCACCCATGCCCCCCTCCAGTGCGGCCACACCCTGATGAGGCTCCCCCCCTGGAGGGGGACTGGGTCTGAGGCAGGGGCCATTGGCTTCTGAGGAGGCCCCTGCAGCCCCAGGGACCTGCCCTGGGGGTGGCAGAACCCCAACAGCCTCGTCTCTAAGCTCAGAGGGAGACTCCAGGAATGCGCCCACTGGTCCGGCTGGCAGGGAGGCTCTCTTGTTCAGATCAAGGTGGCCTGGGGGTGTCAGGGGAAGAGAGGGGGTGGCAGAGTGAGGCTCAGGCCACCCAGCTTCAGGCCTCTCCTCTTGAGACCCCAGACTGAGGGAAACACTCACTCACCAGCAGAACTTGCCTCCACAATGGGCTGGGAGAGAGGACGGTGACCCTGCAGGATGGCAGAGACAAGGTCAGGCCAGTCCCTGTCTCTGCCTGCAGCCTCCCTCCATGCCTGTCCCCTTCCCCAGCTCAGACACCCTCCATGGTCCCTCCGACTTCTATGGCACTCGGCCTTCTTCACCTGTCTAATTGCCCTCTGCACCAGTACCGTGCACACAGAAGGTGATTAATCAATGTGTGCCTGTGCAGCCATCCCTCTGTATTGGGGACCTATTCTGCCAACTACTGAGACAAAGGACACTTAAGCCTTTTGTTATTGGAAGTTACATTTGAGTGTCAGGAGGAAGGTAAATAAACACAAATAAATACATAATGTCTGGGAGTGAGAAGGACTATGGTAGAAAAAAAATGAGGAGCTAGGGAGTGCCTGGGAGGTGATGAAGTACCTCTTTTAGGTATAGCAGGAGGGCCTCTTGGGGGAGGTGACATAGTACAGAGACCCAGAGAGTGAGGCCCTGGGGCTGCAATGAACTGGGCAAGGTCAAGGCATAAAAAAGGGGAAAGTGGGTCAGTGTAACGGGAGTAGAGGAGGGAGAGGCACTGGGGACAGCCAGGCGGAGTGCCTAGGCCAAGCCCTTGGATCTTCTCCTGCAGTTCTCTGAACCAGCCTCCTCTTTTTTTCCAGCCTCCGGGTCTTTGCACAGGCTGTTTGCTCCTGGTTCCCGCTCAGATTGAGCACAGAAGCCACTGGCTCCAGGAATCCTTCCCTGAGCTCTCAGCCTCACTCAGGTGCCTCCTGTGACCTCCCCCCACACAGGGCTCTCCCCTCACAGACCCTGCACCCCATCTCCTCATTTGGACAGTGAGCTCCCCTGGACCAGGAATCCTGCCTTGCCCATCTCCAGCCAGAAACTCTTGGCTTATACTAAAAAGGCAACAAATGCTTCCCACAGCAATGAACAGGTCGCTCCCTCTCTGCCCTGTGACAGCACCTGGGAGCTAAGGTAAGACATCCAGGAGAGGTGGGGACTGAGGAAAACCCACACCTCACTATGGCCAGGGGTACATGTTGCCAGATCTTTGGACATCAAGGACAACCCTGATAGCCAGAGTTTAATGTGCCCCTGTCCTGGTGTTCCAAAGCCTATGTGTTGTGTGGCAAGTGGAGTAAATCTTAATAAAGGTGTTATCAAAACAAAAATCAAAAGAATGAAAATCCATGTGGATCCTTAAATCATAAGAGCATCTCATGGAGACCCTTTCCCCTCTTGAGGCTGAATCCGAGAGCACCTCCCAAGCCCATACTCCGACTGCATTTGGGCCATCGGAGCAACCACATATCCAAACCTTCTTTTGCGCCTTCCTGGGTTCTAAGCAATGATCTTGTCCAGCCCGCCTCATACCTTTTCCAGGTGCATGTTATTCTCATTTTAGAGATGAGGAAATGAGGTTCCGGCAAGGAAAGCAACTTGCGCAAAACCACAGAGCCAAGAAGTAGCAGAGTACCTTGTCCTTAAACTGTACTTGGAGGATCCTATTTGGGGCTCTGTTGCCCACATCCTCCCCCCATCATGTGCTCTCTGGGCTCCTCACCTGTCTGCGCCAGGTGAGTCTGCCTGAGGGCTTGTGCTGGGCACCTGTAGATGCGCTTTGCAACAGCTGCAGCTGGGACTGGAGCCTGGGGAAGAGAGGGACACGCTGGGAGCCAGGCCAGCAGGCTCAGTGAACCCCCACTCTCATTGGATGCACCCCTGAGGTGCACCTGGGGTCTTGCCAGACAAAGCCCGCAGGCAGGGGCTACACCCACACTCACGTGAACAAGCTGTCTTCTAGGTTCCGGATTCGGGCCTGAGCCTGGTCCTCAGGTGACGGGGGGTCCTTCAAGGAGGAGCCCTCAGGCCGCTCTGGCCCCTCAGCTGCCCCGTCCATTAGCCAACGCTCTCGGAGAGACTTCCTCTGAGCATGGGAAGGGAGCTCCGGCTGGGCACAAGGACCATCCCACCCAACGCAGGGTCCTTCCCGATGCCCTAGGCTGGGCAGATTTGTTACTGCCCCAGAACCATCCAGACGGGACAGATATTTTCAGTCTGGGATACATGCCCTTATTGCTCCCCCAACACTGCCAGATGGAACAGACATCCCATTACAAGCCCATAGCTTTTGCAGCCGGGAAAAAAAAATCTCCCAACCCCTCCACACTGGGACAGACACCCCCAAAGGTTAAATCAATGTCTCTCTTGGCCCATCCTTACCCCAATGCAGGGCCAATATCTCCACTGTCCCCATACCCTTCCCAAAGGGTAACAAATATCCCCATCGCCGCCACCACCCACTCTCCCAAGCGGGGAAAGACGCCCACCCCCAACGTTGGACCCAATGCCCCCAACTGTCCCCCTAAATTAGACAAAAGCGCCTAGGGTCCCCGAACAGGCTCTGACGGACATCCCTACTTCATTGCCCAGGCCAGGAAGGCTCCTCCGTCCGTCCCCCACCTTGAGCCGCTCCACGCGGAGTTTCTCCTCCTCCAGCTCCCGGCGCGCAGCGCCGATCGCCTCCTGCAGCCGCCGCTTCTCCTGCGCACAGAGGACCCGGGGTGCGGGTCGGGCGGGGCGGGGCCGGGCGGGGCCGCCGCCTCAACCTCCTCCCTCCCTCCTCGCCGGGCTCGCAGGCCTCCCGGGCTGCCAGTCCTGCCAGCCGCGGAGCGCACGTCGGGGCGCGGGACGGGGAGGGGGGGTGAGGGGGTGGACCGCGGAGGCGCTGACTCAGCAGCGGGTGGGGGCGGGGCGGGGGCGGCCGCACCCGGAATGCTGCGGAGGTGGGGCCTGTGGGTGGGGGTGGGAGGCGGGGCCTTGGAATGGAGATCCGGAGAAGGGACCGAGCTGTGAGGGTCTGAGACACAGGGTTCAGAGAGACGGGGGTCTGAGAGATGGGATTCAGACATGGGGTGGGTGAGAGACCGGGGTTCAAGAATGGAGCATCTGAAAGTGTGGGGTGTCTGCGATGGCCAGACAGAGGAATTGGGGAGCGGAGGGGGCCTGAGGAACTGGGGGTGTCACCCCAGGCAGGGCTGGAGATGAGGGTGCCCCTCCTCTCCCCCTTCACAGCGCTAGACCTGCTCCCCGGGATGAAAGGGAGGTGAGGAAGAGACAAGGGGCAATGCTCGGGGTGCCCAGGGCTCCGGGCAGGGCGCGCCCCGAGGGCGTCACTTACAGCGATGACCTCTAGCCGCTGCCGGTAGAGGGAGCTCTCGGCCATGGGCCTGCGGGGAGAGGTAAGGGTGCGGAGGCGGGTCTCCCAGGCCCCACCCCTCAGCCAACAGACCTCTGGAATGCCCCTCTGAGCTGCTTGGAAACCATCTAAAGCCCAGCATTTCCCTCTATTTCCCCTTTGCACCTGGGAGGACTTGGGGCAAAGCGCGGGGGTTCTGGAAGGCGGAGAGAGCCCTGATCATGACCCACTGACCTTCATAGGTCAAAAGCCTTCACAGTCCTAATATTACCTCTCTGAGCCTCAGTTTCTTCATCTGTAAAATGGGCCCAGATCTCACCTTGCAGAGAGATGCCCTTATAAGAAAGTATCCCTTCAGGAAAAAACTTAGGACATAGGGCTCCAAATACAGTAGCATAGTTAATTATTAGTAAGAACTTTAGTGATCTTCAAAACTAATGTTTATGATTAGTTATAATAACCATTCCCAGCCCTTCCTACAAAAACTCGAATTCCACAGAGCCCCTAACATGCTGTATGTCTCTTTCCAATTCCACACCCTCTCTGGACCTCGGCTCCTACCCAGGATCCTTTAAGTGCTGAGGGCTGAGGGAGTCTGGGGAGAGAAGTGTCCACCCCGGTGTGACACTTGCGCCCTTGCGCCATTGCCATAGTAATTCTGGAGCTGCCTTCTCCCTGGGGGCAAGGGTCATGAGGTCATGCTGCCTAGCACTGGACTCTGAGCTGGGAGGAGGAGGGATCTTGTTGTTTAAGGTTTAACTAAAAAATGCCCTCTTTTTCCTTTACCGTATCTAGGGGCCTTACTTCCCAGCTTACAAGGCTGCTCTGGCTCCATCTGGGCTTTCCCTGGCAGCTGGTGGCAGGGCACTTAGGGGACAGCTGTGGTCACATCAGCCTCTCATCACGCACATGTGTTGAGCACTGACCACGAGCGGGTGCTTCCCAGGCCCATATCTAGATGGATTTATCTATCTGTTTGTTGTCCCTGACATAGCCCAGGGCAGGCACAGGGTAAGCCCTCAAACATTTATTAATTTGAGCACTAACCCTGTTGGGTGAGCATTAGCCTCATCACCCAAACTCTGGTGGTGCCTCCCAGATCTTCCCTGGCCACACTGTGAAGGCATTATAGGTGGCACATATTTCGCACTTATTTTCTATAGTGCTCTACATGCTTGATGGGGTTTGGGGCTTCTGCTAGGCCCCCACAGCCGCCTCTCCCTCCCCCTCCCGCCCTGACCTTGAGATGCTGTAGTTGACTCTGCTGAGTTGACAGTCCACAGGAGAATAAAATCAGCCAACCATCAGCCAGTGCATATCATGTGCCAGGTGCTGTTAAATGCTTTACCTACAGTAACTGGTTCAATCCTCTTCACTATCCTAGGAGGTAAGTAGTACCACTGTCCCCATTTTACAGATGTGGAAACTGAGGCTTTAGACAGGGTGAAAAGACTTGTCTCAGGTCACTGAGTCAGGATCATAACTCATTGCTCTCAGGAAACATGGGGATTGGGTGAGGAGAGTCCAGGCACCCTTGTCTTGGCAGCCAGGAGGCCAGAGATCAGTCTGGGAGTCCCTGATTTCATTTGGGGCAGGGGGCTGAAGTCTGCTTTGCAGGTTATGCCAAAGGTAACACAGACCCCCTGCTAATAGGTTTGCCCTTGGGGGAGAGCTGAAGTCCCCCTTCAGATGTCTCAACCCCAAGATGTAATCTCCCTGTCTCTCCCTTGCTGGGGGTGAGATCGGGTTCCCGTTGCTAGGCAGACAGGGTTGTAGTTGATGCATAATGCAACAGGGAACCCAAACGAGTGAGGAACCAAATCGGGGTCCCTAGAGGGGGGAGCCCCTTTCTTTATAAACCTCTGGAGTTCCTCCACCCCCTTACCTTAAAAGGCTCTCACATCTCAAATAGTAAAATACTCTGCCCACCCCATTGGACATTGTTTCTCTAACTCCACAGGAACAGCATTCATGGCCCATGGCCTGATGCCACCAGGAACAGTTGGTGGCCATTTCATTAAACTGGTGATCAGCTTGATTTTGCCGTTGTCATGTCCAGTTTGAAAGCTGTTAAACTTTTCTGTTAGATTGCAAGCTATTGCCCCTGCCCTGAACACTGGTGGTGATTTTAGAGGCAAATGTGGGAGCAGGGGACCCTGGCATTCTCCATCACCCATCCCCGTTCCCTGTGATAGCCCCACCCCCAGGCTGGACTTTGGGCTTAAAGCCTGCAGGTGGAAAATCCCCCAAAAAGAAGAGGTGGGGGTTCACATCTCCCACAACTCTCGGGCTCTTGGCTGCTGGGTCCCCTTCACTCACCCCAGGGCCCATAGGAGAGGCCAGCTGGGACTCTTACCCCCTTGGAAAGGCCAGCGTCCCCCAGGAGCCCCTCCCAGGCCCTGCCCACCGGCCCCCCTAGCCCAGCACACTTACATGGGTGTGGCTGGAGACCACATCTGACTCTGCAGGGCCATCTCTGCCCAGAAGCCCACCACGATTTGGTCTCCGAGTTGAGAACCCACCACCACCCGCTTCCCCAAAGGTGCCCTGGAGGCTGTGACTTGGCTGGCAGCAGGAGGGGGGGCCCTGTAGGCGAGCACCAGGAGAGCTGGTCCAGCTGGTTTGGGTTGGGAGGCAGTGGGAGGTGCGTGGGGTGAGGGGGGCTGGGGGCTGACGGGCAGTTCTGGGGAGGTACTATCAGCTGTCCTGATAAATTATTTACCAGTCACTGGCCTCCTTGCCGCACACGGCTGCCTCCCGGCAAGCACCCTCTCACATGCGTGGTGGGGCATGTGGGTCACAGGGGGGAGTCAACCACTCCTCCACAGAATGGCACCCCCACTTGGCACCCTGGACACCTCTGGTCCAGCTGCCCACCAAGGGTCACCCACACTTGAGCATCCTTGCACTCTACACACACCCAGTAATTCTTACACACCACTGCCCTCCCTCCTCAGACCCTGACTCCAGAGTGGGAAGGAGGAACTGATCCAACTAAAGGATTCTGGGGACCAGACTGTGCGCAGTTGGAACCAGGATGCCAGGGCCCTGGGTAACTGTGGGAAATGTGTCCCAGGTTTCTAGGCCTGTTTCCCCTTTTGTGAAATGGGGAAATTAACCAAGCGGCCTCTAGGACCCTGGACACCCCCTTAGGTGTACAGTAGTTAGGGGAAGGGTGGTGATGACGAAGGTCCAGAGAACCTCCTACTTAAATCTTGAGGGTCTCTGTGCTACCCTCCCAATCCTGTCCTTAAAGGGCCAGCACCCCTTTTCTCAGCTGACTGCATGTTTCATTCAAACCCCCTTGGGGAAATCATCTCTTGCTCTCCAGGTGGGTCTCCTGCAGCCCCCAATGCTTTCTCCATCCACCCCTGGTCGCACTGCAATTCTTACAGCAGCCTCAGCAAGAAGGGTCCTTTACCTTGCCTCCCCACTCCCCCACCACCGCTTTCAAGGGCACACCCAGCTGGGACCCTCCCCATTGGGCAAAGGGAATCCTTCCACCTAAATCTTCCTTCCCTCTTCTGGATCCTATTCAGGGTGCTTTGGAATCCAGAATTCCAGATCCACATGGAATGAGCTCACCGATAAAGCCTGTGTAGCTTCCTGAGGGCAGACCATGCAGCCAGGGTTGCCCCATCCCACTGCCCAGGGCACCTGTTAGCAGAGGGATAAGGAAGGCGGTGTCCTTAGGCGCATACACAGGGGCCTGGCTACACAGGACAAAGCTGGGATGGGCAGCAAAGGGAGCCAGACTGATCACAGGAGTTTCCCTGTACCCCACATTCTAGCACAAAGCTCCTTTGATTCAAAATGTTTTCCACTGAACCTGGCCTTCTAGGTCATTCTGAAAATACATTTGCCATGATAGGAAGAGAGAACATATATTTTTAAAATTAGTTCTTAATTGTGGGAAAATACACATAAAATTTACCATAAGTGGCACTGGGTACATGCACGGTGTTGTGCAACCACCACCCCTATCTAGTGCTAGGACATTCTATCACCCCAAAATGAAACCCCATCCCCATGAGCACTCACTCCCCAGCCTCCTCCCCCAGCCCCTGGCAGCCACCAATCTGCTTTCTGTCTGTAAGGATGTGCCTGTTCTGGACATTTCATGTAAATGGAATCATACACTATGTGGCCTTCTGTGTCTGGCTTCTTTCACTCAGCATGTTTTCAAGGCTCATCCATGTTGTAGCATGAATCAGAGCGCCATTCCTTTTTTTTTTATTTTGGTATCATTAATATACACTTATATGAGCAACATTGTAGTTACTAGATTGCCCCCATTATCAAGTCACCACCACATACCCCATTACAGTCACTGTCCATCAGTGCCATTTTTATGGCTGAGTGATTATTCCTTTTTATGGATCTACTATATTGTGAAAAATCCATTCATGTGTTGATAGACATTTAGGATGTTTCTTCCTTTTGGAAGAGAGAATATATTTTACTTAATTGTTTGTAGTTTGAGTTCACAGCTGATCAATATTTAGATGTATAGTATGTAGGCCTCCCTTCTAATTCTGGCCCTCAGGCAAGACTGTTCTGTTTATAATTGTGTCTGTCTCCCAAACCCAACTGTGGCTTCCAAGTCAGATTTTATTCTTTATTCCCTGTGCAGGAGTTGGGGTAGGCACCTAGTGAGTACCACTAAGTAATAATTCTTAAGTAACAGTTATGTGTCAGGCACTGTTCTGGGCACAGGGGATTTGGCTGTAGAGGTAAGCAAGACAAACAGAAAATGTTACCATGCAGGTCACTTCCTGGTGGTGGTGGTGGGGAGACATCATATACAAATAAATGGAAGAAAGGTGACTGGTATAACTGCATATAGGGTTAGTTACAGGAAGTAACTATGGAGTTATGGAGAAGGGCTGTATAGGGTGAGGGCTGGGTGATCAAGGACTACTTGTCTGAAGTGACATTTGAGCCACGAGCTGAATAACAGAAGCCAGCTGTGTGATGAGTCATTCCAAGCTGGAAGAAAAGCAAATGCAAAGGCCCTGCGGTGGGAATGCAGTTGGGTGGTTTGAGAGAACTAAGGCTGAATATAGGAGGGAGGAGTGATCTAGGGAGAGAGTGTCAGAAGATGAGATCTGTGAAGTGGGTGGGGACTCCTGGGCCCAAGTAGGGATTTTGGATTTTTCTTCTAAGTTTGGTGGGGAGCCAGTGGAGGGTGGTAAAAGTGGCTGGGAGAGATAGTGGACACATTCAGAATATGTTTTGGAGGCAGGGCCTCCAATATATGGGTGGTTTGGAGGGGAACTGAGGGAAAGAGAGAAACTGAGGCTGAGTCCTAGGTTTGGGGCATGAAAAACAGAATGGGTGAGTTCCCATACATAGTAGGGAAGAGTTAGGTTGAGGGGGCAACCAAGAGTTCACTTCTGAAAGTGTTCAGTTGGACTTATATATTAGACTAGAGGCTTCTGGACATGAGTCCAAAACCAGGCGAGAAGTCAGAGCTAGAGATATAAATTTGAAAGACATCAGCACACAGATGACGATTAAAGCATGAGATTGGAATTTGTCAGGATCTGAGTGTGGGCAGGAAAGAGAATGCGTGTACTCAAACAGTAATTAATGAGAACTTAGGAGAGGTTTTACAAAGATTTAAGAAAATGATCAAGGTATTGTAAACACCCTAGGCTAGCAACAGCCAGCAGCTCTTAACACCCCTTGGACCTAGAGAAAGAGTCTGCTGTGTGTAGCTCCACAGAGGGAAGAGCTGTGGGATAAACATCCTGACCTTACTCTCCTCTCTTCCATCAGCCAACCACCATGGATGCCTGAGGGGAAGGAACCTGTTGAGCAGGTGCAACACAGATCTGAGAAGAGATGCGCTGGAGATAGGAGGAAAACCAAGAGAGTGGTGTCCTCGGAGACGGAGGGGCAAATGGAGAGGAAGTCAGGGAAGAGCCAGTGACCAGGTCTGGCAAAGGGAGTTCATCAGTGTCCTTGGACGGAGGAATCTCAGTGGGATGGTGGGACCAAAAGCACGGCTGGCATAGCCGAAGGAGAGGCAGGAGGTGATAAAGTGGAAAGAACATTATAAGAGACAACTCTCTCCAAAGGCATACTTTAATCATCATCATCTCACTCAAGTAGGCAGTGCTATCCCCATTTTACAAACAAGGGAACTGAGAGAATGGGATGGAATTCAGGAGGGCCCAATTCCAATTAGGCCAATGAGGTCAGAGGGAGGAGGGCAGCAGGTTGAGATTGGGACCCAGGAGGGAGTAGAATAAGAGAGGAGGAGGGGAGAGGAGACACCAGGGCAGCCAGGGAGCTGGGGGAAGGAGTGATCAGTTGGATTATTGGGGGTCCCTGAGGCTGTGTGGCCTCCCACTTTCTCTAGATAAATCTTTCTTCCTGGTCACCCCAGTATGGAAAGAGAGGGACGGAAGGGGGTTTTGGAGAGAGCCTGCGGGAAGAGAGTGGACAAGTCCCTGGGGGTGGGTCCCCTCTGTGGGAGAGTTGATCCTGACCTGGAACGCATGCTCTGGCCCCACCTGCAGGGAGCTGCTCCCGCCGGCAAACTTGAATATCTCTTTGGGGCTTTCCCAGCCGCCTGGGCCCAAGGTGACCGACTTTCAACCGCAGACGCTAGGCTGAGCCCTGGGCACTCTCTCTAGGTCCGTCCCTCCCTCTCCCCTCAGTCTGGGAGTGCGCTTGGCTGCGGACGCCCCTCAGACTTTCGGGAACGGGGTGAGGGCAGCGCGGGCAGCTTGGCGACGGCAGCGGTGTACCGCTGGGAGCCTCGCAGAACCCAGGCTCCGGGAGGGAGACCCGGGCACGCCTTGAGACGGCTCCTGGCACCCTCAACAGCCCGCGCTGAACGCCGCAGGGGTGAAATGTGAATGGGCTGACCAGAGGCCAGGGGCGTCGCTGCTTGCTGGGTGGTACCGGTTGGGCGGGGCTGCCAAGGCCCTGGAAAGGTGGCTTCGGGCGACACCCCCAGCAGAAAGCCATTGGTTCAGAGCCCAGCCCAGCGCGCCGCTGGGGCCAAGCCTTCTGGCAATGCGGGGATCTCAGGGCCAAAAAGGTGCCGGGGTGGCTGGCGTCCATTGAGTGAAACAGCACCTGGACTGGCCCCACCGGCAGCGGGCTAGTCTAGGGAAGCTTCTTCCATGAAGTCCGGTGCCCTGAGGTGGCCTGAGGAGCGTCAGTGGACGAAATTCGGTGCCCTGTCAAGCCACCCCCGCCTCGAGGGCGGGGCCAGAGTCCTTCAGGCAGGTGCAGGGGGCGGTGCTCGGCCCTGCCCCCGGGGGCCGTTCTTGGAGGCCAGGGGAGGGTCAGAGAAGAGGCCGGTGCAGGCGACGCCCTGGGATCCTCGGGCGGCGACGACGGCCAGAGGTGCCGCGCGGGGCAGTGTTCCAGCTCTGGGCATCAACCCTCCGGTGCTGGGAACTAAGCCTTCCGCATTGCTCCCAAGCCTGGATACCGACGACCCCGGGCCGGGAAGCGGAGCCCTGGGGTCGTTCGAAGAGTAGGGCCTCGAGTTCCTCTGGTCAAACAGATAAGTCCGAGCAAAGCAGGGTTCGGAGACCACCAAGCAAGAGAGCGAAGTCCTCGGGCCATCAGCCGGGCAGGACGCCGAGCGCCCTGAGACGTCCGCAGCTGGGAGCTTTGAGAGTCCTGGCCCAGGTAGCCACGAAGCCGAGCCGTCTGAAGAGCGAAGCTCTGAGGTCCCGGGACAGTGTCTCCCTCCGGCTCCTCCTCTTCAGGGGCAGACTTGGAAGCTCCTTGGCTGCGTTTGCTGAGCCCCGAGACCCCACAACAGCCCCCAGAGGAGCTGTTCATGGAGACGCCCATCGAGCTAGAAATCCGCCGCAGCTGTGAACGCGAGGAGAGCCTGCGCCGGAGCCGGGGCCTGAGCCCGGGCCGCGCCGGCCGCGAACTCGTCGAGCTGAGGGTGAGGCCGGTGCTCAGCTTGCCGGGACCCGGCCCCGCGCTCCCGCGCGCCTTAGAGCGCGCGCGGGCGGGCGCGCAGATGCAGCGAGACATCGAGCGGGAGGCCCACCGGCAGGCGGCGCTAGTGCGCCCTGAAGCCCCGGAGCAGTGGGCCCGGCAGCCGCCGCAGCCACTGGGCGAACTCAAGCGCTTCTTTGAGGCCGCGGGGGGAAGTGGCTCCTCGTCGGCGGTGGAGGCCAGCGCTGACCCGCAGCGGCTGCTCGAGTACGGAGGCTGGCCGCGCTCGGCCATGCAGGGCCGCTGCCGGGTGCTGGCCCGCGTCCCGCCGCCGATCGTGCCGTCGCTGCTGGAGCAGGAGGTGCGCGAAGTGTATGAGCGCGAGCGGGAGCTGCAGCGCCAGCGTCTCAGCGTCTATGGCACTGCCGAGTTCAAGGAGCCCGCGCCGAGCCTCATGGGTAAGCCACACGCACCCGGACGCCGGACCCCCGCAGGGCTCCAGCCTCCCTCATAGATTACCCCCTCTTTGGCCTCCTGGCTCGCAGACTCCTGAGACCCCCTCTTAACTCCCCGTTTCCTGCCTACCCTCCCGGGCTGCCCAGTCCCTGTGCTCCAGCCCCCGCTCGCAGTGCTAGACTCCACGATCCGCTCCATGGACTCGTGGTGGGGGAAGGGAGGGGGATTCCAGGTGTCTTTGTCTGGTTGCAGGGAACCCTGCCTGGGTTCTCACTCTTGGGTCCTCCCAGTGACTAATTCGGGTGTCTGCCAACCTTCCTCCCTCCGAATGGAGGCCTCCGTGGGGCCGGGGGAGGTAAACGCCTGTGTGTTTAAGTAGCGCGGCCGGCTTCCTCCGTCCTGGCCGCCTCCAGCCGGTGAGAGGGGCACCCCCGGCTGAACACCTCTTCCGCTGCAGCGAGCGGCGGTGACGGAAAGCTGGCGGTGATCTGGCCTCCCCGCAGAAGGGCTTCGGAAAACGGCCTGGGGCAGGTGAGCTCTTCCCTCGTGGCGGTGGCGTTTGTCGGTGCCCCGCCCCCCTCGCGGCGCCGAGGTGTTGGGGCCCCCTGGGAGGTTACTCTGGGGTAGGACACAAAGTCCCGGCGCGGCCAGAGGGTAACGAGGAGGCGGTGGTCTTGGGACCCAAACTGCTCCACCCTGCGCCTGGGTGCGCGATGCGCGGTCCCTGAAGCTGGCCCTCGGTTTTGCCCCCCCTCTCCCAGGAAGAGCAGAAAGAAACCTTGATGTTCGAGCCGACGGGGACCCACGGCCGGAAGTAACATGCCCATTAGAGGACCCCGGCAGGGGCGCCCAGGAGTGGCCTCCGGATCGGCGGGAGGCCAAGAGAACGGCCATCGGTCTGCGCCAGGGAAGATGAAATTGACTAGCCCACCTTTGGACCTTTGTGAAACTGACCAGCCTCTTCTATAAAACTGCAGTGCGCGTTGGGAAACGCCACCACGCACAATCCCGCCAAGTGAAAGTGTCCAACCCATTAATGTCTAACTACAAACCTAACTAGCCTCTGGCTCCGGCCTTGACTGTTGGAGGAACCGGGTCACCGCCTTGTTTGACCATCCCCTGTCCCCAGTAAAGCCCTTTCTTTTTGGGCAGTGCAGGCTCTTTTCTTCTGGGTCCTATTTGCCTGGGGTGGGGCAGGAGCGCGGCGAGCGGAGGAAGTCTTAAGAAAACCTCAGAAGAGGAATGCGGAATTGTGCCGTTAGCACCCCGTTCCGGGGCTGCTGGTTTCCCACTGCCGAGCCCGGGTCTTAGTGTCCCCTGGCGGCGCGTGCGCGAACTGCGGCGTCTGGACGACGGAGTTCAAGCCCTCCTTTCCTAAATTTTGTCTACGTTTGGTGCCAGTGGAGTGCCCCGCGCTGGGCGCTGGCTACAGGGAGGTGATGAGGCTGTTCCTGTCCTGGAGACGTGGACAGTAGCGACTTCTCAAAAAAGGCGGGGTTGAGAGTACATGCTTATTAACAGGGCATACAAGGCCACTTATAATCTCCCCAGCGATAGCAAATCTTAGATGCCTACAGGCCCCAGGCAGATACTATGAGAGATGGGTGTGCTGGGAAACAAATGTCTCGTTTTAATGGGCAGCTAAGTTTCTCCCTATCAGCAGTGTTACCAGTGAGTGATCTGTGGTGTCAGAGCTTTTGCTTTTCCAAAGCAACTGGAAACCCAGCCTTTAAAAAAGAAATATGCTGAACTTTAAATGTGACTATTAGAACATTTTTTAAATGGGGGACACGCAGGAGGGAGCAGCAATAGACTTTGTAGCTGTCAATCAGCAGGCCTTCCTTAACTTCTGTCTCAAGACAAGGGGTCCAAGGCCCTTCTAGATGGTATTCAAGAGGCTGTTAACACCCCAAGAAAGTCTGTCTGTTCAGTGTATTCCCTTGGTTTTGGTGTACCAGCTTCATAGAGGTTCACTGAGAACCAGAAAATGTTGAGACTCAGGAATGTTTTGGAATCATTGTTTAAACTCCTGTATTTATCCAATTCTGTAGGCCCTGGATCTAGCAACAGGCTTGAACCTGCATAGGGACAACAAATGGCCAATGAAGGATGAAAGATTGCTCACACAGCATTTACCCCAACAGCAGCTGAGCCCAAAAAGGATCCATTCACCCCCAATCCCATCATCAGCCTACAGACCACATGCTTGACTGACTCAGGGAGGCCTGGAGAGAGAGGATGAAAGAGCCAGCACTGCCAAGATGGGCAATGGAAACCCCCAGATCTTGTTCTTAATTCCCATCAAGGGATCTAAGAACTAAGCATGTAGAGCTGACAGGACTGCTTACATGTAGACCTGGGTTCTTGAACTTTCCTGAAAATTAAAACCACCCTTATACCAAATAAATCAATCTGATGGGGGCCTTGGCATCAGTACTTCTTACAGCTCCCCAGATGCTTCCAACATGGAGCCAAGTTTGAGAACCATGATACAGATGTAGGCTAGCAGTTCTCAAGGTGTGGTGCTGGGACCAGCAGCATCAGCCTTACTTGGGAACTTGTTTGAAACACACATTCTTGGGCTCCATCCAAGACTGATCAAACCTTCCACATGATTCTGAGGCCCCCTAAAGTTGGAAAATCACGGGTGTAGACAGTTCCCAAGCAACAAGGACCCAGAAAATCAGTCCTGTTTTCTTCCTTTCCCAGTAACACTACCACCCACCTGAAACCTTTAGTCTCAAGTCGCCTGTGGATTTTTCTTAAGGGAGACAGCCTAAGGCTGCATGTGGCTAGTCTGAATTAAGAGTGCTCTAAGTGTAAAATACACACCAGATTTCAACACTTAGAGAAAAAAATGGAAGTATCAACAATTTCTAACATTGATTATATTGAAATAATATTTTGGATATATTGGATTAAATAAAAATATCAAAATCAATCTGCCCTCTTTTAAAAACACAGTTACTAGGAAGGTTGAGATTATATATGTGACTCAAATTTGTGGCTTAATTCATATTTCTATTGAACCAGGCTAGTCTAAAGAATCTTACAGAGTGGGGGTTTGGGTAAGGGAACTCACAGCAGCTACCTCAAATGGTACTGGGGAGCTTCAGAACCTGCCTGAACTCACTCAGACCTGGGCTGTAGACTGAAAACTCTTTGATGCAGTAAGAAATTGCCACCAGAAGCACCGCCCGCAAAGAGCAAGAATTTTGGTGTCCAATCCTTAATTACTTCACCTCTCCCGTCCGTTTTTGTCATCTGTAAACTGGGGCTCGTGATAATACTATGTGCCAGGGGCTATTAGGTAAGCGAGAGTTTTGCTCAAAAGCCTAAAGGCAGGGAGCTCTAGGTCTCTCCTCCGACTCCGAAATTACCAGGGGGACCCAAAAGGGGTCTCTTAGTTGAAAGGCGATAACTCGAAGCTGAAGAAGGGCACCCCTCCCCTGGCAAGGGATCAGATGCGATCAGAGTGACCCAGTTCAGGTCCAGGCTCCGCCACTACCTCGCCATAGCTTTGGACAGGTAAATTCACCTTTGTCCATTCGGGTGTCCTCTCCAGTCCAAGGTGGGAGTGGGAATTAGAGATCCCAGGGTGGAGTTCCTTACCGCTCTGCCACCACCCCCCCTGCCCCCGCCGCTACCCGAACACCCCGTGATTCAAAAGCTTGGAAAAGGAAGACCTGCTTCAGCCCTTAAGAAACTCATCTTGGGCCCTTTCCTGGGGCATATCGGGAAATACAGTCTTTTACGGTACAAAGAAGTCACTTCCGGGGTAAAAATATGAGAGTGGGCGTGGTTCAGGATCCCTTCCCACCCAGTAGGCGTTGAATTTCCCGGCTACCCGAAACTTGCGGTTTTCTGGGTTCCGGTTGCTGACAGGCGCCGCTACTTCCCTTTTTGCTTCAAGTGCGTCTCTGCGCATGCTCTGAGTTCCCAAACGCCCGTGGGAGGACTTTTCCCAAAGACTACATTTCCCACAAGGCAGCGCGAGTGGGCGGGGCTTTCTCTCCCCAAGAGGAGGGGTGCGGCGCCCTAAGAGGAGGGGTGCGGCGCTCCAAGCGGACGCTGTTGCTGAACTCTATTATTTTATTTAACACAAAACTTGGGTGTACACCCGCAGGGCTCCGCAGCCTGGCCGGACCTGGTGAGGACAGGCCAGCTCGACTTGGCCCTTTGGAAGGCGAGGCCTAAGTGCACTAGGAGAACGAGTGAGCCCCTCCCTTGCTCCCTCTTCTGGAGTTTGAAACTGTCAAGCTCCAGCCCCCACCCTCTTTCCAGGTTGAAGACCCTGGCGCGGCTTACACCGCCAGCCCCGCCGCGCTCGTGGGGCGGGCCGGGCCTGACTGGCCAATGAGGATTTGCACCAGGAGGTCGGTGGCCAGTGTGTGCGATGGCTCCTCGAAGCCGATGATCAGCAGCTGCTGATAGTCCCCAGGAGGCTGCGGACACAAAATCCTGGGGGCCGGGACAGACAGGCCTGGACATGACCGCCCCTGCTTCTCGGGAGCCCCTCCCCTAGGGTGAGAGGCTGTGGCTGAAAGAGGGTTTGTTTCAGCTGGGGTTGGGAAAAACCCTGAGGGAAATTGGTTTCCTTGTTGATCAGAAACTTAGAAGGTAATGGCTCTGGGTGGCTTGACAACTCTAGTTGTAACCTGGCCAATCATGCAGCTAGCTGTGTGTCCTTGGGCAGGTAACTTAACCTCTCTGAGCACCTCCTTGAAAATGGGGCTAATGGTATAAACCTCAATGGTAATGGTTGCTACACAAGTCTGCACAAAGCACTTCTCAGGGCACAATAAAATGCTATCAAAGCAAAGAGTGTGGGGAGGGATGTGGATGGTGTCTGCTGGAATTCTGTTTCTCCCTTCAGAGCACAAAAAGCCCATCTTGCCATCACCCTCAGTCCTACCATGAATAGAGGTCATCCTCAGCTGGTCCTAGTGGCACCCATCGGCCAATGGACCACAGCTTCCGCATCTGGGGACATGAATAGGCAGGATGCTGGCCTGTGTCTTCCCATGTATCACGATAGCATAGGAAGTAGCTGGGAAGGAAAGGGGCAGCAATAAAGAGTGAGCAGTTTCCTTGCTTCTTCAGTTGAGGGCTTTAATTTCGAAGGTGAGATGGAAACTCATTAGAAGTTGCCCTCAAAGTCACGGGTAGGGATGACTCAATACTAAGGCCTTTTCTCCTTGCCAGCCTACTTTTAAGATGAATACTTTTATTTTGATGGGAGGATTGGTTTTTTTAAAAGGTGGGAATGGCCTTTCAAGGGTCCCTGGTTTCCTGTTTGGTTTTCTATTCTTTGGTGGTGTGGGTTGAGGGGGGTGGGGGTCGTTCAGAGGCCCATACTGGCATTCTGCATAGAGAGGGGAGGACTTTGATTCTGGTAAGGGGGACTCACTAATCCACATGGGAATCTTGTCCCCGGCCACTGGGCTCTGGGATGGTTTCCAGGTTCCAGCGCATCTTCTTATAGAGGTATTGCGGGAAGCAGCTGGCTGTGTATGCAGCTGGGGCACAGTATCGGAAGATGGACACCTCGTGGGAAGGGCTGATAGAGAACCTTCCACAGAAGAAGCAGGAGATGCTGGAAGTTGATGGGAGATTGGGGAATGAGGCTGGAGTCTGGACTCCCTAACTCTACCCCCATCCCCACTCTCAGTCTCCTACCCTTTTACCTTAAGGGGTCAGTCTCCTCCAGGACAACAAACCCAAAAGAGGCATATATGCGGACCAGCTGTTCCAGGCGCAGGGTCAGATGCTGGGAAATCTCCAACAGCTGCAAAGAGGGGGCATAATGAAATTAGCTGGTCTGCCAGGAGTACCTCCCCCAACACCTATCAGCCAGGCCTGAGGGATGAAGAAAGGTGCATGGGATCTAGGAAAACTGCTCCACACACCCCCTTTTGGACCAACTTCTGTAGGGCTCCATTGATGGGGGGCATACTCCGTGCAACTGCCTCCACATACAGGAAATAGGGCTCACACATCTTTAAGAAGGTGGGCATGGCCTTTGCCAGCTGCTCGTTCGGCACCCAGTCCCTGCTGAAAGTAGAGAAGGGTGACTTTGCTGAGATCCCTCGCCCCACCCAATCTCTCCCATTCTACTCACCCGCCACCTGTATCCCAGGCCCAGACCCCCACCCCCGCATTACAAAATTCCCCAGTGCCAGGCCTTTCCCAGAGCATTCTCCAGGACTACTTCATCAAAACCATTTGGAACACTTGTTAAAATGCTGACACCTGAGTCCCACGACTGACTTTCATTCAAAATTCCCTGCAAGGTGGGATTCCAAATATTTAGTGTTTAAAGAACCTCGCAGGAGATCCCAGTGGATATTGGGAGAATCACAGCCACCGCCCCCCCGCCCCTGGACTGGGAATCCCATTATCCTTTGGGGTCTCAAACCAGTAGAGCAAATAGCTCTGGAAATCATCTGCCTTCTTGAGCAGGTAGCGGAGCTGTTCGGTGATGGGGCTGAACATGGTGTCCAAGCCTAGACGAGGAGGAGTAGCGGTCCCAGGGCCCAGGGCCAGACACTTGGGGGATGTAGTAGAGGTGGGAGCCTCCAGCGGCTGTCCCTGAACGTCCTCAGGCTCCGGCTCTGGTGGGTCCCCAGGTTTGCCAGTGGGTGTTGACCGCAAGGGGTCTCCGCAGGGCTGTGCCCCAAGTTCCAAGTCGTCCAGAGGCGGCGTTTCCCCAGGGCCCGGGGGCAGAGGCTCCGCGAACCACTGCTCGGTAGCCATCGTGGGGCGGTAGGCGGGGATCCGAGCGCTTTAAGCCTCCAACGGTCACGTTGGCCGCGGTTTGGACCCCGCGCCAGGAACCTCGGACTCGCGTGGGCTGCGAGCGCGGCTCCCACCAACTCGCCCCTGCCTCGACCTCACTACCGGTGCCGTGTTCGTTTGAATTTCAACACGCGGGAGGGGCGCGCCGCTCCGGACGGCGCCGCGCGCCCGCAGGGCCCAGCGCACACACGCGCTCCCGGAATCTGGCAGGGGGACGCGTCGGAGGGGGGGCGACCTGGGCGGTCCCCGGCGCGGTCAGGTCTTGGGGGTGCAACCCGGGGGACAACTATCTCTCTGAGACAGTTCCTAGGGAGGAGGGGCCTCTACCGCGCATCCAAACCCGGATCGCCCTGACCTTCACTCGCAGTTTCTGACTCCCGGGCCTCGCAATCTATATATATTTTTTGGAACTCTGATGGAGTTGAGAAACTTAGTAGGGACTTGTAGCTATTATTACTACTAACAATAATAAAAATCTTCACTTGGAAACATTCTGATGTTCCAGGATCTCATCTGGTCTAATTCCTTCTATTCCGTTAATGCAGAGGTCCGCGAGGCGTTTAGACCCTACCATCGTAGGCCCAGAACAGAACCCTGACCCCTATAGTTGTAGACTGGATTCTTTGTAGCTTGCAAAAACTTACATAGTTAGGAAGCCAAATACATTAGTTATACTGAAGGACTTGAGGGTAAATAACTCAGGTGTCTGACTCCACCCTGTGTGACCCTGAGAAAACAGTATCTTTGGCTGAGCCAGTTGTCTCATCTGTAAAGTGTTTTTTTTTTTTAATGGGCTCTGCCTCATGTGGCTGCGGAAAGAACAGTCGAGGAAATGCTAATAAAACCTAGAGTTAACTGCTAGTCACTCAACAAATATTTCAGCACCTACTGTGCATCCCCACCTACCATGGGGGCAGATGATAGAACTAAGCAAATAGTCCTACTTTCCTAGAGCAGTTACTATTACAGCTGGCTACGGGGTAGCCTGGCACTACTGTCTCCCTCCTTAGATAATTGTCCTAACCCTAGATGTTTCCAGAGGCTAGTATCTCTTCAATGCCCCTCCCCCACCCCATTCATAAAATGGACTCATGGTATTTTGTTCTTTTCTTTTAAAACTTTATTTAAAAAACCTTCGGTGCAATATTAAAAAGCAATACAGCCAGCTGGAGCGACAACCAACAGAAAGAGAGAAGAGGGAAGACGCAGGGACACCACCCCAGCTGCTCCCAGGTGCTGCAGGCCAGGGGCAGACTGGGTGGGATATGGGTGGTAGGGAGAGAGGAAAAGCCACCCACCAAAATGAACAGGCAGAACAAAACATTTATATAGGAAACATCTGGCTGAACTGAACAGGATTTAGGGGAGATGGGAAGCCCCCATTTTTTTTTTCCCCAAAAATGTCCTAGGCTCTGGGGGAAGGTTGGCCTCCTGGCAACAAATGAGCAGTCTCTGTCCCACCCCACACTCCTCAGTCATGAAGTGTGGCATATGCTGGGGGCCAAATGTGTGTGTGCTGGGGAGACACAGGGAAGGGATGAATAGGGAAGAATGCCCCCTTACTGGAATCTGTTAGGAGGGCTAAGGGTGACCCCGTCCAGCTCCTGGACTCTGGAGGTCTTGGTGAGATGGTGGCTGGAATGGGTCGGGGCAGGGGTGAGGTTGGAGGCTCAGCCTAGAAAGCCATCAGAGTCATCCTCCTCAAAGTGGCCTTGCTGTAACACCTTGATGTGGTGCTCGTAGATTTTTAGGGCTGGGCCGAGGCGGATGGACAGGCCGGTCAGCACATCTGTGCGCTGCATGAGCAACAAAGACTTGCCATCGATTTCCTGGGTGGGACAAGGGGAGAGAGAGCAGGGTCAGTGCAGACCCCTACTGAGGCCCAGGGAGGGAGGGGGCAAGTCCAGGGCTGGGGACACACCTGCTCTTGGAAAGCTGTTGCCTGCTCGGGGAAGCCAGCCTCGGTGAAGTACTCTACCACGTCCATCACCGTCCACTCCACAGGGTCAGACGGCTTCTCCTTGCGCCCAGAACTGTCAGAACAGAGGGAACCAGTGAGCCATGATACTCTCCAGGTTCTGTTACAAACATCTGGGCAGCAACACCCATGTCATAAACACTCCAACTTACGGGCAGCCAAAGGGGGTCCCATCAGTCCCAGGTAGGGCTGGTTTTCCGGGGGGCAAAGGCACAGGGGATGGGGAGTCTGGCCCAGTGGTAGCAGAGGCTGGGAAAGAAAAAAGCATATACCTGGGGCTTTGTCTTGAGGCTTGGTTCCTGCCCTCCAGGCACCCTCCCCAACTCAGAGGAGTCTTACCTGATCCCCCTTCCTTATTCATGGCTGCCATGGAGAACACCTGGCGGGTGCCACTGCCTGGTGCTGGCCCCCGCCCTTCATCCTGTCCCTGGTGGGGACCACAGGGTATCCACTCCTTGACCCTCTCCTTAGCATTCTGAGGGCCCCGCTCGCCATTAAGCTGGTGGTGCTGGGCATCTGAAGGACGGTCACCTTCGGGCACCTCGGAACCCTCAGACACGTCATCTTCATCCTCATCGTCTTCTTCCTCCTCTTCTTTCTCAAGCACTCGCTCTTCTCCACTTCTCTGGGGCCGGAGAGAGAGGCACGCGAGGTCGGGGGCTGTTCTGGCCCTGGGCCCCGGGGACTGGGATCCAGGGCTGAGAGGTGTGCCTAATAGCCACCTTTAATATCCACTCGGACTAACTTTTACGCATTCACTTCGTGCCAGGCTCTGTGTTAAAGCCCTGGGTAACCAAATCTTACTAAACTCACTCAACAACCCCAAGGGGTCGCTACTGCTATCAAGTCGTGTTTTAGAGCGGAGGAAACTGAGGCTCGGGTAGATTAAGTCATTTGCCAAGGTCATCACGCGCCGAGCGGAAGACGCTCAAAGCCGGGGCCGCCCGGCGCCCAGTCCTCCCGGGACTCGCACCCCAGCCACCAACTTCGCCAGCACCTGCCCTCCGCGCTGCGCCCCCCTTCCCCCCCGGCGCGCTCACCTTGCTCCGCGACGCGCGGGCGCTAGCGACCGGCGGTGCCCGTCCGGGCCTGTCCCCGCGGGGCAGCGCGAGCGCTCCGAGGCGGGTGCGCTCCAGGCGGCCTCGCGCCGCCGCCTCCTCCTCTAGCAGCCCCTGCACGCGGCCGCGGGTCAGGCGGCCGCCGGCGCCGCCGCTGCCCCCGAGGTAGCGCACGACTTCCCGCAGGCTCACGGGCCGCGCCGGGCCGCCGGGCCGCGCCGCGCCCCCCTCCGGCGGCTGCTGTGGCTGCGGCGGCGGCGGCAGCGGCTGCTGTTGCTGCTGTGGCGGCGC